TTTATTTCTTTTTGACAGAGAGGAGGGGCAGAGAGAGAGGGAGACTGAGGATCCAAAGCGCAGAGCCAGACGTGGGGCTCGAACCCACAAACTGTGAGATCATGACCCGAGCCAAAGTCGGACACTTAACCAGCTGAGCCACCCAGATGCCCCAGTTAATGGCTCAGTCTTTGACTCAATTATACCAACGTGTCAGAGGCTACACTTCTTATCAGTGTTATCAGCGCATGTATCTTCTCCCTTTCCACACCTTTTTACGAAGACAAAGGATGAAAGGCAGTAATGCTCATACCACACTGTACAAACAAGCCACACTGTCAGCCGGGCCAAGATGGTCACAAAGCTCAGTGAACTGTTGGTGGGTAGACAGCGCCCCCATGTGATCGCTGGAAATGTTTGTTTTTCTGTCCATCTACAAATGCCCCAATTCTACAAATGCTCCGGTTGTATCGGCTGTTTGTCCTTCCAGATCAACTGTCTAATACTCTGCATCCTGAGAGACTGGCAGAGTGACTGGCTCCCTGTTCTCAGAGACGCTCCAGCAGGAGATGGGAGGATGGGAATGGGCAGAAGGTGGGGTCTTGATTCCCTCGCCCTGAATATAAACTGGATCTAGTGACTCGATTTTAACACACAGAGGGTAGCAGTGGAAGGGATGCTGTGTGACTTCCAACACTAGGTCATAAAAGATACACCTGGCTTTTCTTCTCTTGTTGGGTCACTTGCCCTGGGGAGGCCAGCAGCCAAGTTGCGGGCATACTCAAGCGACCCACATAGGGAGGAATTGAGGCATCAGGCCAACAAGCACCCACCAGCCAGCCATGTTGAATGAGCCATCTTGGAAGCAGACCCTCCAGCCCCAGTCAAACATTCAGGTGACTGCAGCCCCGGACCAAAATCTTGACTACAATATTTATGAGAGACCTGGAGCTAGAAAGCACAACAAAGCCACTCCTAGATTCCCTGATCCACAAAAAACTATATGAGACAGTAAGTTTATTGTTTTAAGTCACTGATTCTGGGGATAATTTGTTATGCAGCAAATAGAGAACAACTACAACTGGTCACAACAGTCCCATGCTCCTACCTCAGGACCTTTGCACTTGCTGCTTAATCTGCCTACAACTCTCTTCACCCCCCTCCTTTTAGGTCTCCCCTCAGAGGTTACTTGCTACCACCTTCCCTGATCCCCCCCCCCTTTACCCATACTCTTACCCCAGTTCATTTTTCACTGTAGCACCTACTGTCTTCTGTCCTATTACATATATCTTTCTTGTCTGTCTCCTCCGCTAGAATGTCAGCTCTAAGAGAGAAGGGATCTCTTTTGTTCGATGCTCAGTGCCTGGAACTGTGCCTGGTGTAGAGTAAGAGCACTGGCCATTAGGAGAATCTAACAGATCCGATTCATGTTGGAGCTGGATCAGCCTCCTACCTGTTTCCTGCCTGCTTGTCACCCACCCTGGCTGTGACCTCTCTCTCCAGTGGGTAAGTAGTAATAATATACTATACATAATATGTATATACTGTGTATATGTATAACAAGAGAGCCCCTCCATGCCTCCCCACTTCCCTCAGGATAAAATCCCAGGTCCTCTATGCAGACTACAGGCCCCGCCCCCTGCCTGAAATTCCACATCCAGTCGCAAAGAACCATGAACTGTTTATATGCACTAATAGTTTCCAGGTGGGGTGCACAGACCCACAAACAAAGCTTCGGAGTTCAAGTAGAAGACATTAGAACACCTATACTTTTTAATCTCCATTTTTGCTTGTTTGTTAAACAATATCTTTATATAACAGGGGCCCCTGGCTGGCTCCGTTGCTGGAGCATGCGACTCTTGATCTCAGGGTCGAGAGTTCAAGCCCCACCCTGGGCGTGAAGCCTACTTAAAAAAAAAAAAGAAAGAAAGAAAGAAAAGAAAAGAAAAAAGTTCTGGCCAAGAGCATGCTCAACCTTCCGATTTACAATGCAGATTCCTGGGAACCCCTAAACAGTCGACTGCTGCCGCACTCCTAGGGACCAGCAACCTGTATTTTTAACAAGCATCTTCCCCTTTGTCCAACTACCTGCTCCTTTGGCAGAGGCACATAGTAGGTGGCCCAGTGACTAGTTTGCCTACCCCACGCCAGGTGCTACTAAGCGCCCTACCCGGGGTCTCCAAGCCTGGCAAACACACATACCCAGGATGTAGCCACTGTATCAACCCATTTTACAGAGGAGTAAACTGAGGTTCAGAAAGGGGATGTAGCCCCGTTAAGAGACTCAGAGCTGGTAGGGGGCCCAGGTCCTAATTAGCGCCTGGTTCCTGCGGGAGGAGAGGAGAGGGTTATCAAGTGGGGGAGCGCGAACTGAGGGGGACACGGAGATCCAAGGCGGCGTTCCGATGCGGCCCCGCCCCCACGAGGGACGTGAAGACGCGGACCCCGCGCAGCGTGGGGACATGTGACCGACTGCAGAGGCCGCGCCGCCTCCACCGCCCGAGGTGCGCGCGCTCCGCCGCAGGGTGCAGACCCCTGGCGCCCGCCTGGGTCTGGGGCGCAAGAGCAGAGGCGGAGCCAGGGCGGAGCCAGAGCGCCCCGTCCACCTCCCCCCCACCCCCCGCAATCGAAAGCGAAAGAGGGGGCCGGGAAGGAAGGGCGGGGCCGCCCGGAGGCCCCGCCCCCTGCCCTGCGCGGCTGCTGGACCGACGGGCGCGCCCGGGTAGGGGGGCTCTGAGCGCGCAGTGCGGACCCTCGCGGGAACCTGCGCCGCCGCCACCATGTCTCAAGAAGGTGTGGAGGTAGGAGATGGCTACGGCTGGGCCGGGGTCTCTCAGGAGACTCTGGGGAGGGGCCGGGGGCGCGGAGGGGGCTTCGCAATTTCTGGAGACTCCATCCGAAGCCTAGACCTTCACTCTGGCTGGCATTGGCTCCCCTCAGAAAGGAGAATGACCGCCACATCCCCCAGAGTGAAATGCGGCCTCCTCGAGGAAAAGCGGGGGCTGCAGGGTCAAGGGTCAGGAGCCAGAGGTTACCTGGCCGGCCTCCTCCCTTAGTCTGGGACGCTCGCCCCAGTCCGCTCCCTCCCCCAGTGCCCTGTGGGGACTTTGGCTTTTTCCAGGAAATGCCGTAGAGGGATGGCGGGGGGAGGGGGAGGGATGGGGGCGGGGGGGGGGGGGGGGAGAGGCCAAAACCGAGGGTCAAGTTCGGGCTGGGAGAAGGATGCCTAGAGATGGGGGAGGGGCGATTGCTCCTCTCCTTACCCGATCGGAACCCCCCCTGTGCCCACCCCAGCTGGAGAAAAGCGTCCGGCGCCTCCAGGAGAAGTTTCATGGGAAGGTATCCTCCAAGAAGGCGGGGACTCTGATGAGGAAATTTGGCAGCGACCACACCGGCGTGGGGCGATCCATCGTGTACGGTGAGCAGGCTGGGGTCCCGGTCCTGGTAGGGGTTGGGCTTGGGGAGCACGCAGGAGAGGTGTGGTCTGTGTTAAGGGTAGGAAGAGGCGCTGAGATCATCTCCTGGGGAGGGTCTATGCTGGGACTCTGGGGACCCTGAAACTCCCACAAGATCCTTCAAGGACCTTTTACTTACACTTACTCTCCCCACCAGGGGTAAAGCAGAGAGATGGACAGGAACTGAGTAATGATCTGGATGCCCAGGTAAACTGCCCCCCTCCCTTCAAAGGATGGGGTGCCTGGGGAGGGGGAACAGAAGGGACCTGGCCTGTCCGTGATGAGCCCCTTCTGTGCACCACCAGTCCCCAACTCACGATCCACATTGACTTATTCACCTTTCAGTGATGTGTTAGACCAGGGAGACTCAAGCTGTAGGCACTCTTTACATGTCGATGACGTTAAGTAGGGGAGAGAGACATGAAACTAGGCAGTGAAATGAATCAGGATTAATGTCATTGTAGAGGACCCCTGGAGGTCAGGAAAGGCTTCCTGCAAGAGGGAATAGAGTAAGCAAAGGACACACATTCAGGCTGGGATAAACAGGAGATGGGAAGGAGAGAGGGGCTGGGAACCCCATGTAACGGATGGATGGATGGATGGATGGATGGATGGATGAAAGGCTTTGAGGCACAGGTGCAACACGGTCACTTGACCCCTTAAATGGCTTTGGTGGCTAGTGCAGTGTGGATTCCACCTCTTAGAGTTGCTAAAGAGTGTTAACAAAGTACACTATATTCTTTACAGTTACACGTGTAAAGGGTATGTTAAAAATAATAGGAGGGGCCTCTGGGGGGTGTGGCTGGTTCAGTCACTGGAGCATGTGACTCTTGATCTCAGGGTCATGGATTTAAGGCCCACGTTGCGTCTGGAGCCTTCTTAAAAATTTTAAAAATGAAAACAAACAATACTAGGAAAGAGCGCTGCCGTGGGACTTCCACATGTTGTTTTGAATTTCGTCACCCTATTGATCCATTGAGACAAGTCCTATTATTTACCACGTCCATTTTACAGATGAGGAAACTGAGAGAGTGACTAAGTCACTTGCCAGGGTGACAGAGCAAGCAGGCAGCAGCTGGGATTTAAACCTTGGCCACGAAGGATCAGAGCTGGGCTCTGAGATGCCCCTCATCAGGGATGCGGCTCATTCTGCCGCGCTCCCTCAGGGTGATCTCGGGCAACCCCTCTCCCAGCTCAGAGCCTCGGTTTCCTCATCTGAGCAGTGGGGATAATAGGTGTGCCCCCTCCCCTCCCCCTGCTCTCAAGGCTACTCTAAGGATAACTGAGGTCATGCGCCTGGCCCTCTAAAAGTGGACACTGGTCAGTCAGCACCTCCTGAGCTAAGGACACCCTAATCACATGGGGCCAGGACCCTGTCTCCCCACGCAGGAGCCCCGCCCCCAAGACACATTGGTAAAAAAGAGGTTTGAGCTGCATCCCCAGTTTCTGCCCCTGATGTCTCCACCCAGGACCCACCAGAGGATATGAAGCAGGACCAGGACATCCAGGTGGGTCCAGGGTATGGGATGGGGGAGGCAGAGTGAGGAGGACATTCCCAGGGGATGGTGGGGGATGTCCACGGACAAGAGGGAGAGATGTTACAGGGGCGGGAGAGGCGACATATCTGTAGAGGAAAGAGGGGTGACGTGTTTATGTTAGTGGAACAGGCGTGACCATCCTCTTATCCCCATCCTGCAGGCCGTGGCGACCTCCCTGCTGCCACTAACAGAAGCCAACCTCCGCATGTTCCAG